GAATCCTTTTTTTTTTTTTGCTTTTCATTACTTCAAAATTGCCAGAGCAATTGAAACCTATATAACTTAAGCAATTGTATCATTCATAGGAAACCATACATGTAAGGATTGTTTATCATTATGTGACTGTTGTTTAAAATACACAAAAGATATTGTATCACTTTTGTATTCATTTTTTCGTCCCTCTGTTTACGCTGATAAAATTCTTTTTTTTTTCAAACGAATAAACGGCAAATAGTGTCGTAGCTTGTCTTTCAAAATTAATCAAATCTGTTTTAAATATACATTTGTGAAATAAAATGATAGTTCTCCATACAAAAAAAGTTATACCTCTCTACATACGTAGTTTCACTGAACGTTTAGAGACGAGTAAAGTCTATCTTGATCAGGCTTTAACTCTTCATATTGGTTATCCTGATGTCCACTGATATTCTGATAATCTGTCAGTGGTTGTATTTGTTCTGTGTTCTCCGTTACGTCCTCGTAGGTCTGTGTATTAGGACTTTGATATTGTGTTTCTACAGTGACGTCATCAATGTCTTCATATTCTTTATTCATGACTTTGAGATCTTTGGATTGTTGAGGTGGTTTATTCTAACATGTTTGTCTTGCTGTTGGAAGAAATGAAACATATAGAGATGATAAACAGTATTCAAGCTCAAAAGTCCATAAAACAATACACAATCTGAACAGAGCAAACATCAGATGTGGGATCCAGCTCCAAAACATCAGATGTGGGATCAGGTGCCATGGAGGAGTGAGTGTCCTCTGCTGGCTGGTCCTACCCGCCTTTTGTTCCTTGTCATGATCGGGAAATAACGGAAAACTCCGGCGTCTATTCAGTGTATGGAGAAACTTCACACAGCAAAACAAGTAAATGTTTTAACACGTGCTGTTCTGCTTGTATTATTTTTTACGTTATATAACAGTTATTGATATCGATAACAAACTTTTCCAGCAACCCTCGTAATTAGTTATTTATTCTTTACCTGAATGCTCTGTTTGTAAGATATCTCATCTTAATTTCGTTTTGTTCATTTTTTTCAAATTTAAGTTAATGAAAACTGACCAAGTGATCATGAAATATTAATTCAATTGAGATGTACATAAGAAACTTTCAATGTTCCTTATTTTGTTACCCCTTTCTGAGATAATAAAGGATATGGAGATAGCAAAAAGTAATCAATATCAAAGTCTATAAAACAATACAAAGTAGGAGCAGAGTGAACAAAACAACATAGGTGGGATGGGGTCCATGAAGGAGTGAGTTTCCCCGGCTGACCTGTCACACCCGCCGTGTGCTTCTTGTCATGATTAGAAAATAACGGAAAAATCCGTTATCTATTCAGTGTATAAATAATGGACTAACAATTAGTATGAAAAACGTCCATCGACTTGAAACGAGACTGCTGATTGTTTTATCAATTTGCTTGTCAACAATTAAGAAATTAAAAATTGTTCACACGTAGAGCAACCAGGTTCATTATTGACAAGCAAGTTGATGAAACAAGAATATCAGCAGTCTCGTTTAAAGTCATCATTTCGTAAGTTCTATGGTCGATACGATGACCTTGTCAGCAAATACAATTTATCATTGAGTTACATGCTGACTGACGTTTTTCATATCAATTGTTAATCCAGTATTTATACACTGAATTATCGACGGGATTTTTCCGTTATTTCAAGAAGCACACGGCGGGTGTGACCAGTCAGCAGGGGATGCTCAATCCTTCAAGGCATCTGATTCCACCTCTGATGTTTAGGAGGTTCGTGTTTGCTCTGCTCCTATTTTGTATTGTTTTATGGAATTTGATATTGAATACTGTTCGTTACCTTCATATCCTTCTTGTACATACACCAAATCCACCGAAGTTCGAATTATGGTCATGAACCATAATTAAAATCAGTTTCAGTGTCACTTAAATATTTTAAACTGGTATTATTTTTTTATTTTAAACTTCTTTTATTTCGTTCCAATTTAGTATGATTGTTGAATCTTAAAAAACCATTTTAAAAGTTTAAAAAAAATAAGAAGAAATTGGACAATATTCCTCGAGCAATAACATTGTAATTTATACGCGTATTTACTATTTTCGTATAATTAAAGTAATAAAGAATATAATAATCAAATAAAAATAAATGTTTGAAAGAATAACACATTATGGTTGTGTTTGTGATCATTCTTATAGAGAGTCTGAAGATAAATAACAAGAATGAAGATTTAGAATTTCAAAAGATTTACCTCGATAAAAAGCAAACTTATAAACACCAAAGTTCGTCAGCAACAAAACAGATAAACCAATGAGGACTCCAACAACAACCCAGGTCGTCTGAGTAGAGGCTTCTCTTAAATCGCTAATTACACCTGTGAAGAAGAAGGTACGATTTTAGCCTTATTGTGTCCTAATTATCGAATGTTTTCAAAATGGTTTCAAAAAGATTTGAAACTGGTTTAAATATATGTTGAGATTATGACTTGATAGATCAGGAAAAATATGGTAAGGAGGATAACTATTCTATAAATATGACGTCATTAATCTGATGCATTTCTCTTGTTAAAACTGAAAAAAAAACTCTATATGACATATTTTAGAGGTCATTTTCCTCTCTAAAATAGTGTACACAGCCGTCGTCTACTTTAATTTTTATATATATTGTGCAAAATTCTAAAAAAAAAAAAATCGCATATTTTAAATCTTTATGGGCAATGCCTGTGGACAATATTATCTGGAAGAAAAATTCCACTTAGGAAAGAATACGGGAAAACGCACATTTTCATCACATCAAAATTAGCATTTAGAAACACCAGTTTCATTTTTAAGATAATCACAATGCAGGATTTATATGGAAACAATACCTTATTCTTTTATTTGTCATCTGAGCTACATGCATAAAATAAAAAAAAAATATTTTTCAAGTTAAACTTACATTGTATATCACGCAAGTCCTGTCCCTGCTATAATATTATTTGGATGGCAGTAACGTGATGAACCAGCAGACATGTTAACGAAGATATTTTAGAACTAAAGTCGTTCTAAGATATAACTAGGAAGCATTTTACTTCATATCGCTATTTTTTAAAGTGTATCTACTTAGGAAACTTTTTAAGAATTATCTTCAAACTAAGACAGCAATTGAACTCCCCTTGGTTATAACAGTAACTAGATCCTAGGAGTCGTATCACGTCGAAATGACAGGCGCGGATCATCAGATCAAACTAGACGCGAACCATTATTTTATTCATATTAAGGTCTATTTCGAAGGATTGGAAATGACGTACTAATAATTTGTGTACATATTTACAAAATTTCTTCGACGGAGACGTAAATTTAGACGTCGCGTGTATATACGTCTAATACTGTATTTACAAAGAATCGTAGACGTTAAATTACGTCATAATTAAACGTAAATCTACGGTTTACTGTGCTCCTACACGTATCTTTATTTACGGTCAAGAAAATGGCAGCACTTTTACTGACAATAGCGAGAGATCGTAGTTTACGACTACAGCGAGTTTTCCGGGACCGCACAAATCCCTTACTATTACAGCGATATTGAATTGATACAAAGATATCGATTTCCAAGAGCAACCATCCTCGAGTTTGTTCACATGGTTCAAAACCGGTTGGAGAGACTCACGAACAGGTAAAATCCTTTGCCTGTGCCTTCCATGGCAAGAACAATTTTTTGTAAATATTAAACTCGATCTAATCTTAATTGAGTTGTCGTTCTCTCTAGTTTAAGTGAAGCGGGAGACAACGCTGGGTAGATAATGGGATAATTATGGGCGGATTTAATGAACATATCAATTGTCTGACAGACACATTCAATAGTGCCTATACATAAATTTAGCACTGGCCTATTAATTGAAAAACACATCTTTTTAATTTCAAAGCTGTGATCTGTAAATATCATATGTGTCATCTGTAACTGATATTTAGAAAAGCCTCCAAAACTTACCAACCCTGATGCTCACCTGACTACCCTTATTAATCTTTATGTTTGGATCAAGATGATCCAAAAAATACACTTTGGAAAATCCAATGTCATCTACTAGATTTGTTTTCAAGAAGTACAAGCCCTCAATTTAATTTTTATAAAAGTTTCATTTAAAAAATGTTATGTTAGAAAATTCTAAATATGTTAAACGAGTTCAAACCTGCTTGTTTCATTTTTGAAGTAGTTGAATCATATTTATTTCAGTCAGTCTTCAAAGCAAAATATATAATTTTAAAGAATTAGAAAAATAGGCATTATACCACATTTGCTCATAAAAAGATTTATCGATGTACAAAAATTATATTCATTAATGAATTATGAGAATTTATTGTCATCAAAACAAAAATGTAGGCCTGTCAAGATGAACTGCATGCTGATACCCTGGATATTTGTCACGTGATAATGCCTATGTTTTCTGCAGGCCGCGGTGCAAAATGTGAAAAAAAAATCTTTGTGTACTTTGTAGATGTAGAGCAAATGCATTCAAAACAATTTTTACTAGTTGTTGAAGAACTCCTCAGCTTTTTATTCACTATGCACTTTAACCACATCATTATTATCCGGAGAATCTTGACGATTTCTTTTTATATCTTACACACTCCCAGGCTGGAGAGTAGCTAATGTATACTCTTTTTATATGACCATTAATTATCGACGATCTGATGAGAAATTATTATGAAATTGAAATATAAGAACAACATTTAATACTAAGTTTAAGCAAGTTTTTAAAATATTTTACTCATGATTTTTACTTGTTATCATTTACGATTTATATTTTATTGAGGTAATATAGAAATAACGCCTCATTTCCCCATGTGCACTTTCTAACACAATCACAAATAGATCGGCCGCTGCTGCGGCCGATAATGACACCTTAAGACAGTAATTTGACTTTTCACTCAAAAATCTTACAATCAAGACTTAAATTTACTAATCCTCCAAAAAGTTATGTACATGTATAGTGCCCCCATATGACAGCTTATGGTGAGGGTTGAAGTTTCTTAAATGCAAGTCAAGCACCGAAGTACGAAAGCCAAGAAGGCTCATTCGAGATTCAAGTTTCAAAATACGAGATTCAAAATTCGAGATCCAAACTAACCGATAAAAAGCAGGTTCAACTTTTAATTACTTCTCTTTGTTACGTTTTTACTATCAAAAAATCGTTGAATATATTTATAACAAATGGAGCATTTGCTTAAATGATAATGCAAGAAAAAATGTTTTATGTATTAAAACGAAATAAACATAAAATTTGGAGTACATTTTGAAAAAAATATATATAATCTTATTTTTTTTTTTTATATAACATAATAGTAAATACGTATATATGGAATATTGTATGGTCTTATTGTTGACTTGCTGAACAAGTAGGTCAACTTATTTTATTTCATCAGATCTTTGCTGATGGAGAATGTTGCATGCAATTATAATTAGATAAGAAATGTTATGAATCGTAACTACACTGAACAATAATTTAAGGGTACATATTTCATTACATTTTAAGGGTATATTTGTGCAGTGAGACTAGACAGCTGAATCAAATTGTAACGTTATATAAGGTTTTTTAAGAGTATATTTTAGTCTTTGGCTATAAAGCTATGGTCAGAGACTAAAATATAACACCATAACGCTATACATAGTTCTGCATCCAATTTAGACTCTTCTACTATTTGATATAAGTTAAAATAAACGCCATATTCATTTAAATTCATATCGCCAAGCTGTATGGTAGATATAATTTTTAATTAATTCAAGAAATCAAAGCCTTAGATGAAGTTAAGTAATTAAATACTTAATTTTTATATATTTCCCCTATCAGGAAAACGAACGCAATTTTTCTTTATCAATTCTACGTCGTCTCTAAAGTTTCAAGCCTTTAAGTGTGTATGGAAAAATCGGCAGGCGCGACGGGTAGAGGTTGGGTTATTGTTAACCTTTAGACACTTGCCACATATTCGTAACTTTATTTATATATCATCAACCCCGTAAACAAAGTAGACAATACAAAAAGATATATATTCCTGATATTTGTATTCTATTTAATATTTTAGAAGCCATAGTATAAATTGAAGTATATCTTGCTGATCAAAAATCCAATGATTATTTAAATTTCCTTCCTATATAAATAACACTCTTTCTTGCATTGTGATCTTATGAAATGACTTATTTGTTAATTATATATTAAACGATATTTTGATAGTAAAATAATAATAGAATGGAGTAATCAAATCTTGAACCCGCTTTTGATTGGTTAATCTGGATCTTGAATCTCGAATTTCGAATCTCGTATATCGAACCTTGAATCTGGAATGAGCCTTTTGGGAGCTTTAGATTGGTTAATCTGGATCTTGAATCTCGAAACTTAAATTTCCAATTTCGAATCTCGTATTTCAAACCCTGAATCTCGAATGAGCCTTCTGAGCTTTCGTACCAAAGGTCAAAAGTCAACATTTGCACAATCTCGTATATACACTGTCTGAAGATGATTCCATATCATCAAGATATGACTTAAACACAAGAGGATCTGTTCCAATATATTTTATTCCTATGTAAAAAATAGGTCTCTCACTGTGGCCTCGCCAAATCCCTGCGGTCATGATTCGATAAACATGAATTTTCACTATCTAAGGATGTTTCCAGGTAAATATGACTAATTATCGCTTTGCTGTTCTTGAGAAGTTTTTTAAAGATTTTCCCTAATCTTTTCCTTAGCTGCAGATCTTTAGCTCTCCAAAAACAAATTGACAGTCCGGAGATTTAAGAAAGAAATAATCCAAAAAAAAGAGCAACTTTTGTGCGCAATAAATATACAGTTTTTACAATGGGTGGCTCTTTAGCTCTCTAGTCTGTCAATATATTTTTTTCAGAGCTATGTAAGTTCTGCAGCTTCAGCTTTTTTTCCTTTGTAAAACTTTGATTCATCATTATGGTTCGAGCTCTACCCCAGGAGTCATCATCTGAACAAATTTAAATCTAAACTGTGTCTAAGTTTCAATTTTTGACCCAGTGGTTCTTGAGAAGGTTTTTTAAATGTGTCACCAAATTGCCATTATTATAACACAATTAGCCAATGTGTTTGGATTAAGAAGACTTTTGTTAGTTCATAGTTTTATTAAAAAGTCACAGCAAAGGTTAAACAAACAATGGTACATGAAAAGTTCTATTATAAAGATCTCGGAGCTAAGTTCGTAAAAGCTCTCATGGTCCGTTTCGGAGCTAAGATGTTAAAAGCTCTCTTGGTCCGTCTCGGAGCTAGGATGGTAAAAGCTATTGATAACCAGTGCGCACATCTTTTATACAAGAAGCTGCATCATAGGGTTAACAGATTTGGTAATAGCAATTAGTTAGTTAGAGTGTCACTTCGTTAGTATTCATATTGTCCGCCCCTCACTGAAGCTCTGTCTCCCATCTCCTTCTAGGATACGGCAATGTCCTCTGTTTACATTAACATTATACATCTTGCACATTCTTCAGTTAATTAGATGGCTGCAGCTCTGCACAAAGTCTGATTGGAAGTGTCAATGCTCGAGAACAACACGTCGTAAAAACTAATTGTCCGTCAAATGAAGACGCTCTGTTATTGTATTTTATCTCCCAAAGTTTGTAAACAAGTTCGTAATTTAAGATATTATTGTCCGTCGCGCTACACACTGATAGTATCAATTATAATTCATAACACAATATTAAAACATAGATAAATGTACTGTACAAATTAATATATCAATTAAACTTATAATTTATACGCTCATTGTGTTACATTCCTCCCCAAACCGGAGGAAACATTGTCCAATGTTTCATAAAAATAAAACGCACTAACACAATGAGTTATAATGTCTATAAATTATTAATCACTTTAAAATGTCCATAACACACAACACACAGATGTCCAATAAGAATGTCCCGAATTGTTGATCGAACTATGACGAATGTCCCTTGAAAAAAAATGGCGACATCTACTTAACCATCATTTCTTCATTACGGCAACATCTCGTAGAATGGGTTGAATATCCCTCCAATTCGGTGACATCTCTTGGGTAGATGACATCTACTGGATATGATGAATGTCCCTTAAACTCGGTGACATCCACTGGATAACGATGAATGTCCCTTTAACTCGGTGACATTCCAGACATGACACATTATCATAATGTTTGTGATCGTATAGTGGTAATAAATGTTCATGCATCACAGCAAACGTAAAAACGCAATGTTGTAATCTGCAACAGAGTTAATTAAAGTTTTCTGCTTAATTGTAACTGGTCAGTCCGAGACTCGGATACATGGTGTTGATCTTCATTGCTGTTCATCATCAGCATCAGATTATTTCGTCTTTGCTTTCTAGGAACCATTGTGGGTATAGTGATCTTGTAGTCTGCAAAACTGTTTTCTGTTTAATTTCAGTATTCTCCACGCTCGTTACTGGTGCAGATAGAGCTTTGTTATGGTCAGTCTCTCTGCCTTCCAGATACTTTGTCACCCTCGACTCTGGACAATTGGCTGAGACATTATACCTAGATCATTTATTTCTGGACAACCAATACATTTCTGACCTTGACTTTTAATATACAACACAATTACTGCCCTCGATATGGTAGAACTTATTATGCCCAGGAGAAAGTATATAACCTTGTCAGTCAACCATTTTTTTTTAGTTACGGGAATACTTTTTTTGTCAGAATCTTGGAAATGTGGAATCGGAAAGGTCATCTAAAAATGTATTGCACTTTTGTACCAGAAATGATTAGATTAGTCACACAGAGGTTCATAGAAAGAAAACCATGTAATCATTTTATCAAGTCTCAATTTTAGGTTCTAGGTTAGATTTCCTCCTCTAAAATGTCATACTCAGACACATTACTTAGCGTAATCCTAGACCTTTCTTCATATTTAACACCATTAAGAGCACTTTTTAATGGTTTCACTTTTTTTTGTGATTTGTCAGTTTAGACCGTTTAATTTTATTTTTATTTTATTTATTTATTATTTTTTTTACGAGACTGGACCTAAACATTTTTGAATGTTTTTATTTATCTTCTTTTTTTATACTTTGATCCATACAAATGTTTTCTCCTTACAATGGCCCTATTTTGAAAGGAGTTTACTCGTTAAACTGATCTATAGTTTGTTTGTTTTTTGTACAATTTCGTTTAATGTGTCCTTTCTTTTCACAATTCCAACATTCAACACACTGACTGTTTGTTGCTCGATTCACATAGTAAATACTCTTTATCTTTGGTATTGTTTTAGATCTATAATGGTCGACTTCCATGGGTATATGGGTTTCCTTACCCGACCTGAGTTCAAATCGCTTATACAGGTTTTGTTCAGTCA